TTCGGCAGGTCGGTCGTGGCTGGGGATGGAGTGCATCTGTGAAAGGAATCCAGCAGAGGAGCTGTGCTGATTCAAGTCACAGAGCTCAGCTGAGAGGAGGCAGCAGCTTAACAGAAGTCGTCATAAGCTGTCTATCTTGTGAAAACGGTCCCAGAGTAGTGCTGACATGAGCTGTAACTTTGAAGTTTGGGGATGGTTTGTTTATGTTTTTTTTCTGAAAACCACAGACCCTTAGTTCTTGTGTCTACTTGAGAATGTAACTGTGCAATGAAAGAGTAATTTCTAGCTCTTGCATTTGTGGAAGAAAGTGACTCATGACCTGGGTGCCCTCTTAAAGCTTACAAAAACTGATTGTAGTTAAATTGCTGAGTAGCTGGGTGAGAGAAGGCAGCTTAGGGGATACTGAGATATGAGAGAAGAGCATGAAGTGATTTACCCTAAATTCACAACCTGAAATGAAATGGGAAAGCTACAGCTTTCCACTTGCTCCTTCCTTTGTTTAGAAGTCCGTTGGTAAGTAGTAGAGCAGTCAAGAGGCAGCTAGAAGAGTTAGGATAGGAGCATCTACCAGTTCTGAACTCCTACTCACATCTTCATGGAGAAGCAGACATACTGGGGTGGCATGGTGTTTAGAGGAAAAAGGAACAGAAGGAGAGCTCCAACCTCTCTTTTACACCCTTATCCCAGAAAGACTGTGACTATCCTCACTTTTTGAGTACTTTGGAAAAGGATCTATCATATCTTTTCATTTTTTCACCTGGTAAAAGGGAACTTGCACAGCTATAACAGCTGTGCTTACAGCAGTGAATTTCTGGCATGGTGACAAAGGTGGTCACATTTCCATTGCCTAGCTTCAGAAGACTAAGACTGTTGTGGTGCCAGCATTTTGGGAGTTGTAACGTTGGGAAAGAAAAAGTTATTTGCTGCTCTGGTTGGAGTCACTTGTTAGACCTCATAGGTTGTATTGCTTTTTCAATGAAGGGTGTACTGAGGGAGCACTTACTGTGGTTGAAACGAGCTCCAAGACTGAGTCAGACCATCAGTAGGCTTTTTGTGGGGAGGTATGATAATTCACCCAAAGAGAAACGTAGGTAGTTCTCATGTGGTCTGTCAGCATGGAATAGCAATGACTCTGCTTCTGAAAGGCAACTCTGCAAGAAAAAACAAAAGATGACAAAAAAACAGTGCATGTTAGAAGGTCCAGATTATGTGGTGGTGGATTCTAACAGTCAAGCAGCCTTCTTCCCTGTAGCACATGGCATAGCTCTGCGTGGCTGCTCAGGCATGGTGCAACAGAGCAGAGCTTGTGCTATACTCTGCAAAGGCAATTTGCCTCCTTTTGACTGAAATAAGTTAAGTAAGAACGTTTACTTAAAAAAGAAATTATTTAGTCTGTTAAGAAATTTACCTTCTTGGAAATAAAATTCTTTTGGAAAGATTGTATTCTGTGTACTGCATAGCAGTTCATAGCCAGCCATATGACCTGGTTGCCTCCTGGTTACAGAGATCTTGTGGGGTTTTGTATATACTTTCTTACATATATTAAAACAAATGAACAAAAGAAAACCCCAACTCAAATCCTAGCAGAAAAACAATTAGATACTGTGGAATGAAGGAAAACCAGAAGTTAAATTACATTTTTGGTATGAGGGATAGCCTGTGAATAATGACAGTGAAGAACAAGCAGCAGGTTCCATGCCTGTGAAGTACATTTGGAGAGGATAGGGGATACAGTGCAGCTTTGTCCTGCTAAACAGGCTTAAAATACTGATAATTCTACAACAGCAGACCTTAAAAACTTAAGTTTATATTTTGGATATATTTAAGGTGTTATTACATGACAACTTCAACCTTTATTTTTTTTCCTCTTTCCTTCCTACAGATCACACATCCGTGGGCGGGCTGGGAGACAGTTTTTATGAATATTTATTGAAAGCCTGGCTTATGTCAGACAAGATGGACACAGAGGCAAGGAAAATGTACGACGATGCAATTGAGGTGATTATAATTTATTGAGTTTTCCAATACAGCGGAACTTAAAATCCATCTTTAACACTTATTTTAAAAAAAACAAACCAAACAACAAAAAAATTCAACATCAAACCACTGTAGGACTTGTTTTGATTATGTAAGTTTTAAGAAATCAAGTGATGAATAATACCAGCTTTCATTCTGAGTAGTTTAAAATGTATTATTGTAGAATACATCTGATGCAGATTATTGTGCTAAAAATAATCAGCTTGTCAAAAATGGTATAATGTAAAAGCCCAAACCATAGTTTTAGAAAGAGATGTAACAACCCTAAGATGTGTGCAGAATGATCAAGTCACTTTTCTCCAGCATTCAAAATAATTCTGAATTGAAGTCCTGAATTGTTTTATTCTTTAAATTATTTTCTAAAGCAATTGAATGTTATATTGCATATTTATCTTGTAAAATGTAGTTCATAACTGCTCCTTGCTCTGTGGTTCCTTTGTGATACAGTCTTGCTCCCTCATACGGATCAAGTGGTGCTTGCCCAAGCAAGGCAGTTCTGTAGGATGATTCAGTGGGATTTGGGGTGGGCATCTTTTAGTGATAGCTCTGAGCTTTATGCTGCTCAAGCTGTTACCTTCTTAGTTTCCCCATACATGGGCATCTTCTTCCATCAGGCTTGCTTCTGCCCATATATGCCAACATGCCTATGCTGCAGTTAAGACACACAGAGTAACTAAGCAAGTTTAAGTCAAGGTAGCTGTCCTGCCAACAGTAGCAGGCACCATGTAGTCTTGTCCCAGTGCAGATATGTGCCTAACATGTTTCTTTCAACACAAGCTTTTACAGCTTAGTTTTAGTGCAGTCAGTCTTCTAAAGCAAAGCCCTTGCTTTTGGACTTCTCAAAATTCACATTTTGAAAGATATATGGTGAAAGTTCTAGTCTAAAATTGCTTTGAAACTGTAATTTGTCTTCTTTCTGATGTGAATTCGATTACATTTGACTTTTCAGCTACTTGAACTTTTGCTTCCTTATATTGTTTTAAAGGGTTATCTGCATCATATAACTGGCTACTAAAAAAGGTATGGTAGGTGTTCTCTCATGAAAGATAAAAGTATTATTTTAATCAGTTTTGTGATATAAAATAGATACTGAATTATTTCTTGAGCTTTTTTTTGGAAGTACTTTCCAGTGTCTTCGGTAGGGAGACAAGAATGTAATGGTTCTTCTAATGTGTCATCACCTGAGTTCTCAGCAGTCTCCTCTTCATCCAGCCAAGAGCTGTGTTTGCACTCTTAACCTTTTCCTCACAGCCATCCTCTTTCCCATTGGTTTTACTCTGAAGCTAGTTATAGTCTTTTTTTATTTATTGCTTTTCTACTACTGTGATTTACATTCCTGATTCCTCAGTGTCTGTGACCTTATACTTATCTCACATTGTTCAAGCAAAACCCATTTTGTCACCTGTTCTGAATGATTTTACAGGACTAAATTTTCCTTTATCACTATACATAGCTCCATCAATTTAAATATCATCTGCACATTTTTTTTTTCTCCCCCAAAAAATGTGATAAATGTTGAGGAGATGGGCCTCTTAACTTTGTTTTCAACATCATCATGTGGACTTTCCAGATAGTCTTTTCTCCTTCTGACATCAACTGGAAGATAGGTAAGGTTCTTTCCTCATCAGGGAGCAGCAGAAGCCATGGCATTGTGCTAATTCTCAATGCCAATTTACATGATTGCTAGCCACTCTGGCAGCTCTCAGAGACTTAGTAGTTTCTGCTCTGTGACTTATCTCTGTGTTCTTCACGCTGGATCCTGCCATAAGCACAAACTTAAAATCTGTCAGTGGCATCATAGAAGAAATTAACCGAACAAGAATTGCAGACCAGCAGTTCTCTTTCTTTACCTTCAGAACACAACAATGGAGAAATTTCACCATCTAAATAATGGATTAGTCCCCAGTACAAGTAAGGAGCAGGACCCTACTTATGATAACTCGGTCTTTTCCCTGTAGTTCACTGCCTTGGCTTTCAGCTAGTAGCACCTTGGCCGTATGGGGACTGCCAGATTTCACTGGCTACATGTCTAAGGTGTGGATTCATATTGCTACAACCATTCAGAAAAGAATCATTTCAAGAGCATATTCAGAAAACCATGCAGAAACACATACCTATACAACAACATAAATGTTTCAGATTCACTTTTATATTATCCTCTTCCCCAGATGAGGTTCCTAATCCTATAAATTCTGCCTTTTCTAACTGTAACTTCACTGGTTTTGTTCTCGAAAATGTTTTTGTTGAAGAAAACTTTGTAAGGTTGTCAGATATTATTTCAGTACTCGAATGGAGGACTTCTGTGTTATCAGATGGATACAATGCAGCTGCTTTAACAGTCCTGTATCACTTAAGCCTCATTAAAAAAAAAAAAAGTTGAAGTTCCTACTACAGTCACAGAAATTAAAAAAAACTTTGAAGCTTTTTGTTTGTCCATTTTCTTTAAAACAAAAGCCAGTCTTTTTTGTTTAGAGGGAACCACTTTTTCATTGTCCACTTTTAAAGCTGTATTACAAGTTGCAGGGTGATTAATTTATGTATTTATTGCTTGAGTCTGCATAGTTTGCACTGTGTTGGTAGCAAGAACACAACTGTGTGCAGTAGACATGACCTCCACATCCACAATAACTGCTTTAGTTACACGTGGCATCCTCTGCCTGTGTGTTCTTGGTGTATCTAGTTTAAGTGCAAAATACAGTTGTGGACATTTGGGGTGAAATTTGTTGTAGGTACCAGAGAAGTAATGGAAAGGGAGGGGGAGTAATTCACTTCTGCAATTGATCTTGTAGACGGCAAGGAGAGAAGTAAATGCATTTTTAATGGCACTTTAATCCTTCAGTGCTAATCAGCCATGCAGTACTCTGACCAGTCACAGGTCATGAACTTTGAAAGAAGTTATGAACACATCACAGGGTTATGTGTGGAAGTACAGAGAAGGTGTCTGGAAACAAGATAGGAATAATGTCTCCATGGTAAAGGAGATAATTGTCTTTGTTGTTATAAGACTCAAATTTTAATTTAAAGATTCCAGTTACAAGAAAAATTGTCTAATGGTAAAGATAGTAAGTACTGCAGTAGATAGGTGGGGATTTTGAACCTCTCTGAAAAAGCCCTGAGTAAATGTGCTGTTCCATGTAGTTTGCAAACTTTGGAAAGACAGGTCAGATATTCTCCTTCCTACTACCAAAAGAATACCATTTATAAGTCACAAGCAACAACATAGATTGGTACAAATGTGCAAAGAAAAACCAACAGTTGCCTCTCCTATAAAAAGTTTTTTGTGAACAGCTGCTCTAACCCCCAGGCATCCTTTGACCATGTGCAGTCAGAAAGCTGCCATGGGGAAGCAGCTAGAAGGTGGCTGGAGCGTTCCCATCACTTCCTAACAGAGGCAGACTGAGAGTGTGGGCGCTGCCTTTTCAAGTGTTGCTGGCCAAACGTTTCCAATGCATTGTGGATTTCCTGAGTACACACAGACTGTACAGCAGAACAAATAGATACTCTTCAGAGTTAACAGGTGGACAGACATTGAGCCATAAAATATGTGCTGAACTGTCAGCTAAAAGTGCAATGTAATCTATGTCATGATTTTCCTAAGTTTGTTCTCATTAGCATCATTCAGCAGTTGGGGTACTTTTTGTGTGCACTGACATTATACTCTTAGGGCTGTTTGTTCCCATATTGCTTGGAAGTGAATTTCATAGAATCATAGAATCCTTTAGGTTGGAAGAGACCTTTAAGATCATCAAGTCCAACCATTAAGCCATCAGGGCTCTGAAGTCCTCTGCTAAAACAGATCAGAATCTGTCAAGGTTGGAAGGGACCACAAGGATCACCCAGTTCCAACCCCTCTGCCATGAGCAGGGATACCTCCCACTAGAGCAGGCTGCCCAGAGCCTCATCCAGCCTGGCCTTAAAGACCCCCAGGGATGGGGCCTCAACCACCTCCCTGGGCAACCCATTCCAGGGTCTCACCACTCTCATGGGGAAGAACTTCTTCCTCACATCCAGCCTGAATCTGCCCACTTCCAGCTTTGCCCCATTCCCCCTAGTCCTGTCATTACCCTATAGCCTAAGAAGTCCATCCCCAACTTTCTTGTAGGCCCCCCTAAGATACTGGAAGGCCACAATAAGGTCACCTCGGAGCCTTCTCTTCTCCAGACTGAACAGCCCCAACTCTCTCAGTCTTTTTGAAAAAAAACTTTGAAAGAAGAAAATTCTTTTTGTTTTGAAAACAGTATTTTATTCTTTGAAGGAGAGTTAATATGTAAAATGTGCTTGTGAAACACTGTTTGAAGGTTGTCTTAATCTTCTTCTAGGCCATAGAAAAACATCTCATCAGAAAGTCCAATGGAGGACTGACCTTCATTGGGGAATGGAAGAACGGGCACCTTGAGAGAAAGATGGGCCATTTGACCTGCTTTGCAGGGGGAATGTTTGCCCTTGGAGCAGATGGTTCCAGAGATGATAAAGCTGGACATTATTTGCAGCTTGGAGCTGAAATTGCACATACGTGTCATGAGTCATATGACAGGACAAGTAAGATATACTGCTATTCTAGTTATTTCATTAGCTGAAATACAGAAATTGTCATAATTATTCTTAAGACTCCTTATTGGACCTATGCCTTGTCTAACATGCACTGGTTTTCTCCAGTGCATATTTTTTAACATGCATGTATTTACTTCTGATCTACATCAAGGTGAGTAAATGTAAAGTCAGACTTTATGAATGTTCGTTCCTGCACATTTATGCCTATATTTTGGATCAGTCTTCTAAGATAGGTTATATGGGTACAGTGAGAAAGGAATGTGGTGAACTCTTGTCCTCCCATATATATAAGGCAGCTTTTCATTTCCTATATACTGTTTTTACAGTTATGCAAAGTGAAAAATCTGCAAATACACCTTTTACTGGTTTTAGTAGTAGTATATTCTGGGTAAGTACAATTAAACTAGGGAGGATAAAAGTTAGTTAGCAAACTGAAATGGCCAAGACCTGGCTAATGAGGAGGAAGTATCAGACTTCATTGTTGGGCTGGAAGTTTCTCAAGTTCAGTCTTTTGGACCAGGTTTATTTTACATCTTTAATAGTGACCTTGATGCATAAAATTAAAGTTTGTTGATTACACTTTCAGTGGCCAAAAAGTCATAAGACACAATTAAAATGGAAGAGCTTCAAAATAGTAAACAGGAAAATCTTGAGAACTGGACTGTCAGAAATAAGAAATTCACTAGAAAAAAAGCAGCTCTTTCTCTAAACACAGAGATGAAAAATGCCAGTGTAGCCCTAGTCTGTATCAGATGAATTTTCAGCAGAGATTAGAGAATATTGAGAATATTAGAGAATATAACTCTGCCTTAGAAGATGTGTATAATTTGTCATCCAGAATATACTGTACAAATCTGAATTTCAAGCAGAAAAAAAGGCAAGAGAAGGACTAACAGAATTATTAGAGTAACAGACCCCTTTTCTTACAGTGGGAAAATAAGAGAAGTCAGCCTGCTCAGACTAGAAAAATAATGCCAAAGAAGGGAATAAATTTGTTGTCATCTCTGGGGATAAATGCTGAAAAGAAATAGAGTTGCTTTAAGATATAAACAACACAATTGTACCGAGAGCAAGATTTGTAAGCTCACCATGAATAAATGTAGATTGGAAATTGGAATTGTTTTTTGTAGCCATTGGAGAAGTGACCTTCTGAAATTACTTCCTAGCAGAAGTAATGGTAACTAAAACTCAAGCAGTTTTAAGAATTCAGGTAAGCCACAGATTATATAGTATCATTGTATAATTCCCTGTAATTTAAAAGAATTAAATTGCCTAAGTGATACTTTTACCTGGGTAGCAAGAGCATGAAAAAAAAAAAAAGGAAAAATAATTTGAGAGTGCTTAAGGAAAAAGGTTGGACATACTAGCTATTGTTGCAGTCTGAAAAACTGCACTTCAGTGTTGAATTCAACACTTAAAAATAAGCAATGCTAAATTGTTGTTTGTGCAGTCCTAATTTTATTCCTTCAGATGTTTACACTGTACCCTAAATAAGTCAAAAGATAGGGGGCATAGAAGTTTTGCTTATGTATTTAATGGCTGTATTTGAACACATGCATGGAAGAAACACTGAACGTTGTACAGACAGCTATAAATTTGCAATGCCCCAGTTTTCTTTTGTTCATTCGTGCAATCTCAGGAATGTAGATTTTTCTGTTTGGTTGAGTTTTTTTTGCCTGGACTGATTTTCAAAGGAAATAAAGAATTGTTATGTGCAAAATGTCAGCTTCTTCATTATGCTTTAACAGCAGGCTTTGAGACATAATTGTACACTTTAATGACAGAACTAGCTGGTTGCAGGAAGGTAAATCTATTTCAGAGGGCAGACAGTTACAGTGGTTCAGCTGATAGGTTTATGTTTCTGTCAGCAAAGGGGAGGGAGCCTGATGTTTTTCTCTTACAGCCCTGGGAAAGCTTTTGCCCCATTTGGTGTCCTCGGAGGAGACAGGAGGGTGCTGAGGCTGTGTGCTGAAGACAGAGAACTATTTTCTTCAGATAAAACCTAGCAGATCTGTCCTTTCCTGACTTCTCAGGGTTGGTTATAATAAACTGTAGTATATGCCTGGTTTTATAATACTTTATTATAAAAATGCTACTTTATAAAGCAACCTAAATTTCCATAAAGGCTGAATATGAGATTTAAAAAAAAAAAAAGAACCAAAGCTGTTTCAAGATCCAGTCTGAGCAAAATCAAAACAGAATTTCACAGAATAAAAGCACTTCTGGAAAAGAAGGGCATTAATTACCAATTGTCAGCAACCTGTTGCACATATTGCAGGTATGAAAGCCTGTTTTGAAAAAAAAAAATAATTTGCTGTTTCAGAAAGCTTCAGGCAGACTAAATTCTGTATTTGCTACTGTCTTTGCAATACTGTTATCTTATAAATCATGGAATACTGTCTCCTGAAATTCTGGCTTGAAAGTATGCTTTCCATATCTTGGATAAATAAATAAACATGGTGATATGACAGATGATGTCAGTGGGACATAATGCCCATGGAAATACAACTGGCATCACAGCCATGTAATCAGTAAGAGATTTATGCAGGGACACAGTCTCTCTGATAGCTGGATTCAACTATTCATGTTCTCCAGCAATATCTGAGAGAATACCTCAGACTCCTGACTTATAGGCTAGGGATGTCCTGAGAAGGTCAGGCCCTTTCCATGGCTCTGTAAAAATCCCTGTAAATTCTGCTTAAGCTGAGGGTCAGTCTGTAGTACTCTCTGAAGGATGCCTTTCTAATTCACCATCTGAAGGAAGGTGATGGTCTTTGGAAGGTGAAGGCAAGGGCTACAGATGTCATTCTGATCTACCTCTGAGCAAGGGGCTTGTGTTTCCAAGATCCATTGTGCTTCTCACCAGGAGACCCCTGAGGCTTTTCCTCTCTTCAGGAAATTGTGAATACGTGTGGCACTGCTTGGAAACACCAAGAATTTGAAACATTTTATTGAGAGTCAAAGTCAATAGTCCTGTGATGTGTAATCAGCACATGCCTCTGCTTCCTACCTACTCTGCTTTTTTCTATACCATAACCTATTGACAGGTTATTGCCACAGACACCCTAAATCTCCCATCATATGACTGGAGAGTTCAAGATTTTTCTGTAGTCCAGTGCGCTCTCAGTTTGGAAAGGAGATTGAGAGAGCCAAAGATAGAAGCATGCTCTGATCTTTATGCCCACGTACCAGCAGAGCACAAGGAATCATAATGCTGTGAGGAGGCACTGGTAAGGCTAAAAGAACACAGCTTCATATGCTTATGGTGCAAGGTTTCTCGACATTTAAACTTGCACATCTTCAGATGTTGTAGTTGCTGAGGATTAGTTCTTTGTTTTATATGCTTAACATGTGCCACTGAGAAACATTGCAAAGGCATAAAATAACTGGTAATGCAAAAATAGGTCCAATGAAATTGTAACAATAGAAAGACCACTAACAAATCAATCTGAAAAATTAACTTTCATAGGTATTGTAGAGGTTAGATTAATAAGCAAAATTCTCTATATAGATAGCAGCACGTGCTGACATGGCACACAGTATTTTTAGTAAAATACACCATCACTTATATATTAGAATTTTCCAAGCCATTAGCTGGTAGGATGTAAAGTATTGACTGACTAGAGACTGATTATTTTAGGATGGAGTTTTTTGCCGGTCTTTAAAGTTTGGACAAGAACTGTCCTCAGAATCTGGGTAAGCTTTAAGTGGTTTTGTACATGTGACAATTCTGATTCCAAATAAGCCAGATAACTAAGACTTCAGCTGAGACATTTTAAGAGTATGAGTAAATACTGTCTCTGTCTCAGGACTCTCACTAAACAGCTAAACAGGCACAGATGTAGAAATAAGAATAACTGGTTTTGTCAGAAATATAAAATAACAATATACGTTGATGGAGTGCTTCCAAGAGTCTCAAACAAAAGTATCTTGGAGGGTCTCTCCTTCAGATTTTATATGAGTTAGAGCCTAGAAATTATTATTACAGTTAAGAATACTTTCTAATGTCCAGGAAATTTATTGCTAAATTGACTGTGGTCTTAAGGTAAATATGCATTTATGGCTGAGTTAAAAAAAAAAACTGGGGGTTTAAAAAAAAAAAAAAAAAAAAAAAAAAAAAAAAAAAAAAAAAAAAAAAAAAAAAAAAAACCAAAAAACCAGTACTTTCAAAATTGTTTCTATAATTAGAATCATAAATATTTATTTGGAAGCCTGAGGATTTGCCCTTATCTTCAGGAGTGCTAAATACAACTCCCATTGAAGTCAGGTTTAAATCAGACAAAATCTCTTTTAAAATGCTACTGGTTTGGCTTTGCAGTTTTGCACTGTGATATGAAATTGTTTCTTGTCTGCTTTCCCTGCCTAGACTGTAGCCTATCAACCCCATTAATACTAAATATGTGTATTAAAGTGTGACCATTATGGTGTTGTAAAATAGCCTTAGATAGTTCTTTGCTTAGAATAATGCTACTATTTTTATAGTAGCTTCTTTACTTTAGTCAGCTGTTAATAGAAGTGCTGTGATTAGTTTTACATCCTTGGTTTCAGATAAAAATTCATTGTGATTGTCACAACATGCAGGGGTCACCCATCCTTGGGTAGTATGATTTCTAGGAGTGCCCAGTAACGTTAGAAGTAGATGATGAGTAAATAATTCCATATCTAATGCATCAGCAGTCTACAAAGCAAGGGAAGGTCTCACAGTTTCTGTAGGTGATTATCATCACCAGAGCTGCCTGAAATCCAGCTTTTTTTGATGGATAAGAATAATACAGCTGAGATGGTTTACCCAACTTCCAAAAAGCTTTTTCAAAAGTCCTCCACTAAGGCCCTTTAAGGATACTAAGCAGCTACAGCATTAGCAGCAAGTACCTGCGTGGAGAGAAAAAGTTGTTGTAGTGCAAAAAATAGAGTAGAGCAAAACAATCTGCTCTTGCAATGGACAAATAGTGGTTAACCAGTGGTACTATGATATATTTGACATATATTTATACACATATCTCCATAGTTGTGTGTAAATGTGTAGTATACTTACATTTAATATATGCATCTGCATATACACAAATAAATACATATATAAGCATATATAAATGATCAGGAAAATTACAGGAACAGTAAGGTATGTGTGCTGATGGTAACTAAAAAAAGCTATTTAGGGTATTAAGGATGAAAGATAGCTTAAAAATTATACAAGGACCTTATGAGGTTGAGTAATTGCATAATAAATTCCTGAATTATATTCAGTGTAGTTAAATGTAAAGTGAAGGCACCTATGAAAAAATTATTCCTCACCTCACATAAAAAATGATCAGCTCTTAACTGACCATTACAACTTGGGAAATTGCTCTGAGATTATGAAAATGTCAGCTCAGTAGCATTCAGGAAAAACAAAATGAGAAAGAGGAAAACAGAAAATGTCATTATGTCACAATATTAATCCTGTCCACACTTTTACTGCTGTTTTCAGCTAGTCCTCCAATTTCACAAAGGATATAGTAAAATTGGAAGAGTTGCAGAGAAAGGCTAGAAGGAAAACTGAAAGTATGAAACAGTTTCCAATCAAGGAATTAACTGCATGGGATAGTGTTATTTTCTGTGGAAAAGAGACATTTTAGGTAGGGTGCAGCAGATCTGCAAAATCATCAGGGGACTACAGAGAGTGGATAGGAATAAGTTGTTCACTCTCTTCTCCAACACAAGACCTAGAGACTATTGAATGAGTCTAGTAGGAACCAAGCTGAAAACGCAAAAGAACAAAAAGAGTGGTCCTACAGCAAAGAGGTGTGAGAGTTGTGGAACCCCTTAGCAGAGGTTGTTGTGGATGCACAACACTTACGCAGAATTAAGGAATCACCCGATAAGTACTTGGGAAATAAATCTAAATCTGACCACAAAAAAAAAGTATGTCTAGTTTGGAAGAAGCCTTGAGCTCAAAAAAGTTGGAGACTGGTAGAGGAGCTAGGGAAAGGTATCTCATGTATTTGGCCTGTTCTTGCTCTTCCCCATCCTTGTTTGGTTTTGGCCATTGTTGGAGACATGATACTAGACAGACAGACCTTCCATCTGGTCCAGTATGGTCACTCTTATCTTTTTAATTTTGGATAGGTAGAACTCTGAAACTAATCTCATTGATATTGCAGTAAAAGTTGTCATTTTTTTAACTGAAACTGGTAAAAGGGCCCATTTTGAAAGAAGTAACATAAATATATCATGGTGGAGTTTTCCTTATGTGTATGGCTAAAGCAGAGAATGGCACTTTTTTGTGTTTGCACCCGGAGTCGTACTCCCTTGAAACAAGAAGATTAAGGAACTTTTCTTTGAGCTTCTCTGATGTGGCATACACTGAGAGGTGCTTATATTTTTCATTGCTGTATTCTAAAGTTCCTCTTTCAGTCTCATGAGGCCATGGTTAATTAGAGCCTCTAGCCTGTAGGAATTACATGATTAATTGCTGCAATAATTTTTAGAGCTGGAGTGCAGCTTAAAGACATTCTACCAAAGCAAAGAGTGGGGTGCAGCTGTAAATAAGAGTGCCTTATTTATGTTAAATTTTAGAAATAATGTTTTGCTGTATAATAAAAAAAAAAAAAATAAAAAAAAAAATTACATCTTCATATTATAGAAAGGTTTTCTGCATGTACCTCCTTCGTATCTGAATAATACTCCAGAGGCTGACACAGGGCCATTACAGCTTCCTTTAAGGGCTGTAATAGTGAATGTCTTAGTTCAGAGATTTATTTTCAGGTGTGGCTTAGTTTTCATCACCTAGTTGCAAACCTTTTTGAGGATCCCATTATGAAGCACGTCAGTTACAGTGGCCTGACAGCACTTCCCTAGACCAAGAGAGTTTGGATAAAGATGTAGGTTGTTTGAGATGATGGTACCTGATTTTGTTCTAAGGTATTTTCTTGTTATGCTGAATGGGATCAAAGGACATCAAAACTCTGCTGACCATTTTTTTTTTCCCTTTTGCTTGTAAAGAACTGATGTTGGTCTCTTTAATTTTATCCTATAATTGAATGTGTTAATGTGTTTATATTCTTAGCTTTTCATTACTTTTCAAGAGGATTACTGTGCTCCTGTCAAGATAAGTAGTTTTCTCACAGGAATTGGAGAAGTTATTCATAAGAAATTACAGGCCTTCAAAATAGGAAGTATTTATGAGACTGCTTAAAATCAAAACTAGTTTCTGTTTTTCTCGCATGCTTGGGATATAGCAGTCTTCTATCCACCCTTCCTGCAAGGACTGATAAGGAATAAATTTTTTCTTTCTTTTCCTTTTTTTTTTTTTCTTTTGTTCTTTCCTCCACAGCATTAAAGCTGGGTCCAGAAGCATTCAAATTTGATGGTGGTGTAGAGGCGGTGGCAGTACGGCAGAATGAGAAGTATTACATCCTAAGACCAGAGGTGATTGAGACCTACTGGTATATGTGGAGATTCACCCACGATCCCAAGTACAGGCAGTGGGGCTGGGAGGCAGCACAGGTAACTCTATTAATTGTCTGTCAGTCATTTAATTCTAAGTATTTTTCTTCTGTAGCCACTTTAATCTTGTCATACTGAAACACTCCAAATGGTAGCTGATTTTCATGAGTTCCTGTAAACCAGGGTACATATGGGGGTGTGCACAATTATTCCTGTTTTGCAACTGCTGAATCAGATGCACAGATGAGAGATGCATTCAGCATTATATAGCTGATGAATTTTAGGCATGGAAATAGAATGCACTGGTCCTGACTCCTGCCGTTATCAGTAGTCCACAACCCCTGAGAGAGGTAATTTATCTTGGGAAATGAAAGTGTATTATAAATAACTTTGTTAAGCATGTGTTTGCACTCAGTTTAGATTAAAAAGCAAAGCTGTTCTTACAGTTTCTCCTTGGGCAGCTGTTAAAACACAAATGGTAGGATGACTGTTCTTAGATGGTTTGTAGACTAGATAGCAGGTACATATATATGTATGCGTGTGTTTATATGTATATATGTGAGTTGTCATCATGGCTTATTCTTCCCTTAATTGTCTGATTGGAAGGAAAGAAAAATTGCCAGTCTTTAGATTCACATAGTTAAAACATTACAGCATCACAAGTAGTAGATCATAAAAGAGAGTGAATAAGTAATGGTATAAAAGGCAAAAGTTAAAAGTTGCTAAGGTATTTTAGAGATTGGTGTGCTTGTTTTGTGTAGTTGCTTTCCTGGGTTTAGAACTGGTTGCTGAATTTTTAAAATCAAATTCCCAAGTATTGCAAATGCTTTCTGTGGAAATGCCTGTACTGACCTGCAGAAGCCCAAATTCATTGTAGGACTCTACAAAGGTGTGGAGTGATGGCCTTCCTTCATCCTATGTATGTACATGGCTAACTCCTGTATATGGTAGCCATAGATTATGGGCTAGATTAATAACAAGGCTTCATTTTGACAAGACAATACCATATTCTAATTGTAAAAATTATCTGTAATAACCAAAAGACTTTTAAATGCTTCCTAGGGCTGAATTCGTGAGGCTCTTCTGGTCTCATGTTTCTCACTGCTCCCACCTGCTGGTCTGTATCGGGCTTGTGCAAAACAGATTGGCTGGGCAAGTAGTTTTCTGGTCGGTTTCAAGATCTGTGGATTACTAGAGCTCCTCCACTTCCCTACTACAGCTCCAGAAGTCTTTGAAAAAACAGCTCAAAGGCAGTTTCAGAGATGAGAAGAAACATTTAAAGATAAGAAGACAGTTATCTTCTACATCAGGTAGAAGATAAAGGCATGTTCAGAATATTTTGCTGAGCTCATCCCTGTCCTTCCCTCAGTGCCCTCATAGAAGAGTCCAAATATTTTAAGATTGTGTCTTAGTCTTGGTTAGGTTTTGCCTTGTAGACTGTTTTGTTATAACCAACATTACCTTATTTTGGAGAGGGGTTCCACATGTATCATTCTTGTATTCACGATGTTTGAAAGGTTGAGTGACATCATCTCTCTTGCCTAAGCTATGCAAGTTTCTAATATGACAAAGAAATTGATTTAATAACCCGCTCCTTGTCAGTGTGTGTACAACAGATGCTTGCTGATCTAACACCAGCTCCTGTCAGAAGCTATGGCTGGATGTTCCATGCTGAGGTACAAGGTTAAAGAATTTACAAATGTAAATTTTTTCAGGCCAGGATCTGTCTCTTAGGCACGCTGCAAAGCATGTCTTTGGATTGCATTTGTCTTCTCCATTTTCCTTCATATCTTGGTCCCCATTAATGCTTTTAAACCAAACCCTCCCTTCCTTCTCCCCAGCCTCAAATTTTCTCTTTTTGCAAGGCAGGATTTTATTTTGTCCTTCTGTCAACCTGAGTCGAAGTTGTGTGAGTCAAGGAGCCAATGTGCTTAAGTGCCTCTGTCCTTGCAGAGTGCCTTTTTTTGCTTACTTCCACAATGCAAAATTTCTTTATCCAATAGAGCTGTAAAACATTTTTGAACTCTTCATAAATGGTTTTGCATAACCCTCCCTCCCACAATTACAGATTTTCTTACTCCACTGTTATACTAATGCAGACCCTTGGGAAGCTTTTTGTTCCCCAGTGTTTTCTGTTCCCTGCATATAGAAAATAAATTCTTGTGTTTACTCCTCACACCTGCACAACTTTTCCTTCTTCCCTACCACGCACAGCTCTGGTTGCATTTATTTCTCCATTTATAAATAGAGAAGAATCTGTTGTGAGACACAGAGCAGTTGGCTTGCTGCTCTTGTACAGCAGTGTCTGTATTTGCTTTCCTTTTTCCTTTCAGCCACTGAAGCATACTTTAAAATCTGTGTAACCAGCTTCTCATGGTGAGTGATAGTTCCTTCATCCAGTAGTTCTTGTAAGCTTTTGGAAAACGGAGTTTGTTTCTGAGTTCTAAATGGTCTTGTTTTTCTATATTGAACCTGGTGTAACCTGGTGTTTGATGACTGAGTTCTTGGTAGTCTTGTTTGCTTCTTTGAGTGGATTAATATATCCCTACCCAAATGGATTTGGGTCAGTTCACCAATATGTTAGAGATCTCCTTCTGTCATTTTAAGAACTCTTAAAAGGTGATCCAGGATGCATTGCAGAAGCACATGGCTTTTAAATATACTGCATTACTTAAGTTTCTCTAGCACTCCCAGCCCAGATCTCTTTCTGCCTTTTTGGTGGGGATTTGCACAGAGGGCTGGATTGTATGTGTATGCAGGTCTTTGTACTGTGCTTTATCTATTTCACCATTGGCAGTTTTCTTTCTGGCTTTATTAGCTAGAATTTTGGACAAAACTTAAGCATTTTAGTGCAGATTTTGTGCTTTGACCAAGGCCTGGTTTGATACAGCTCTCTGAATCTAATGTCTGTGGGGAAAAAAACAGGAAATTGAAATTATATTCCCTCAGTGGTCATAAATCCCTGTGACAGGTTCCCTATCTGTTTTGCAATAAAAAAAGGGTAATTCTCCCAAATAATGTACTTAGCACTGGAGACAAGATCTCAGTTGTATTGGGCTAGACAAACTGAATGATGGGGGGTGGCTGAATTATTACAGAAATATGCATCCAAGATACTCAGAGTAAATACAGAAAATTACTAAAATCCTCTTTAGGTTAATTGTTTGAAAGCAGTAAGAGCCACCACTTTACAATGTAAAGCCAGTTACTAATCTAAGCTGTGTGACTGAGGGGTTCAACTGTTTGTTGGGGAATTGCTTGTCTAAGTGGCATTGCACCACAGACACTGCAGAATTTGTTCAGAGTTTCTACTTACGTGGTTGCACGTGTGGCTTTTCCTCACTATGCCAACAGTATGCTCATAAAAACTGTGCCTGCTTTCTTCACCAGCTGTGGTAGTCACAGCTTCCAACCCATGAATTGGGAACCCATGTTTCTTTCATCTCCAGCCTGTGCCTGGCTCTTTTCTGTCTACTTTGCTTCACTAAGTAGAGAGCTGTAGGTCTTTGCACCCCATCTTACTGTCAGTCCTCAATTTGCCTGAAGTCAACACAAAATTGAGGTCCTATCATATCATAGAATCATGTCACAGATTATGATAAAAACACCCTCAGAGGAACCAAGGGAGCTGTGGTCTGATCTAGATGCACCTCCATTTTTTTTTCCAAACAATATAGATCAAGTCTGACCTTCTCTTATGTCATAGGCCCTGAAATTTCATTTTGAATCAGTTTTGAGCCAAGACATGTATTTGGCAAGAGTACAATATTGCATATTCTTCTGTTCTACTCTTGATTTGAATAAAGGGACCTGGAAAATCCATTTCTTTTGGTAGTTTGTTGCATTGTTTAGTTACGTGTGCTGTTAAAATATACATGCCTTATTTCCCAAGTCTAGTTTCAGCTGTCAATCACTGGATTTTCCTATGGCCTCCTATACCGTACAAAATGGTTTTTATTCCCCGATGTTTTCTTTCCAAAGAGTTTTCACAGATTGCAATAAGCTTTACTACTGAGTCTGTTTAAGATGCTAAACAAATTGTATCACATCTCGCTGTAAAACGTTTTCTCCAAATGTCTGTACCCACATCAGTTCATCAACCTTTTTTTAAAATTAATTCTAGAATTGCATATTCTGATTTTGACTTTACCCATGACTCTGTGCAGAATTAAAGTTATAACCCTGCTACTGTTCACTGTCCCTGTGTGTGCACTTGCCACAATACCCTAGCAGGAACTTACACTGGATTGTCTCATGTGGACACTGGATTCTTTGAAGTGTGTCTACTTTGCAGGCTAATCTGATTCTGCAGTTATACACCCTTTATGTTTAGATTTAGGATTATGTGCCTGGTTATAGGAAATTCATTTTGTTTGGGCCCCAGTTACTGCCAGATTACACTGCTGTTATTTCCTTCTGTCATTTTTGCCAGCAGCACTGTTGCTGTGATGGATAAAACTTCAGACTGCTCCTTGTGGATCTCTGTGAGAAGCAGCTCTGCTTGGTAATGATTTTACATTGCCAGCTCACTCTTAGAGCACTGTCAGTCAGTTTTAAATTAAGATAGTAATATTGATATGGTGTAATGCTGCTTTGTCTTATCATAACATCTTATGGTACCATGCCAATTGCTTTAGAAGTGTTCATTTCAGCTCTGCAGTTACCTTTATTTGTCAATTTGTAGACCTCAAAGAATTAAATCAAACAAGACAGTGTTCTGTAAAACCATGCTGACTGTTGTCAGTTACCCTCTTATTAGTCTATATTTTTTACGTGTGTTTCCATAACTGGAACTAACATCAGGTAGGCCATCCTGAAATTATTCAGCCTACCAATGTCTCATTATAGTAGCATTACCTTGATAACCTTCCAGCCATTTAGGACTTCTAGGGTGCAATAAATTTAGCACTGTTTTATCAAGGAGACTGGTTGTCAGCTCGAGTGAAAGCATATCCAGGTGGCAAATTGGATGCCTCTACAGCAAGTACTTGGATGTCTGTGTGAAGGCAGAACACTGCAAATTTCAGACGCCTTTCAAACAGCATGTGTACAGCACCAGACTTCTCAGCCAGTGTCCTGACATTCCATACACCTCTGAATCAATGACAATTTGTTTTCCATATTTGGACAAATAACGGTATAGCAATCCTTCAGAGGAATTTTTCCCTCCTCATTGCTACCTGCAGTGTCTACATCTCTGATCAACTAGGATAAATCCTCTCCCTGTCCTGAACTCCAGTCTAGCCAGTCTGTCTCCCCAAGGAGAAATTTCTAAAGATACAAGACTACTTGGTGATTGTGAGGGGAAAAATAAAAAAACCAGCATAACTCATTTTCTTTCTTCAGGCTTCTAGGCCTGCTAGCTTCACTACTATTGCATTTAGTTAGCCAAGCATGAGACCTCTGCAGCAGAGAGCAAGATCTCAGTGCTATCTGTTGTCTGCAGTCTCCAGAGTGAATGAGTTGAAGGAGATGGTGTCCTAACAGTGGTGCTGTTTGTTCCTTCTTTTCATTTCACCCCATCACTAGCAAGTTTCTCCTGTCTGAGCTGTGGCACACAGTGTCAGGGTTGCTGAATCATTGGCCAGAGGAACACCTGAAAGGTCAAACTCTGCATGCTAGAAATTCTGGCAGGATTGTTACCATTGGAGCTTTCCCCCTGAATCTTGCCACACTCCGGAATAGAGACAAGGTCATGTTCTGCAGTATTATAAAAAGATGATAGCAGCAAAAGGATGCACTCCATTTCCTGACTAGAAAGAACAATGCAGTGGCTCTGTGGGTTTTTTTCATATAAGGGCTGCCTATTGGATGTAGGACTTGTGGGGAGGAACGTGCAAATGGTTCCATAAACAGCGTATGTGTTATTTCTTCAGAAGCTGGCCAAGAAATTTATTTTCTTTTTTTTTTTTAATTGATTGGCTGCCATGTGATAGTTGGCATCACTTGTGGTGTGCATGAGGATGCAGAGATTGTCATGCATGTGATGCTGTTGGGCTAGGCATATCACATACACCTTTCACTCCAGACTGTAGGGAAAACCTGGTTAACCTAAATCCCAACATGTGAATAGTCTCGGTGTAACCCTAGCCTGCAGCAGTAAACAGATCTGAAAAGAATTCATTTGGACACCTTCTCCTTTTAGGCTCAAGTCCCAACATAAAAGGACTTGTCATAAAAGTACTCCATCCAAACTTGGACAAAGCTCCACTTGAGATAAGGAATTACATTGAGAAATAGATCTTGCCAAGCAAGACTGTACCTTTCTTGGAATATGCTCAGGCTCTAAAGCCAAAAATCATTCCAGTCATTCCATCTTTTTGCCAGTCTTTCCTCTTCTTTAAAAAATCCTGGTCTTCAGAAATCTGAGAGAACTTGAATCTGAATTATTATTTGGTCCATGAACAACTTCACATTTCCACAGGGTAAGAATATATACTAGGAGGAGGTTAGCTGTAGTACCTGATGTGCTGTGACTTACTGCCCTAGGTACCTTGCTCATTTACCTTTTCGCTTTTCCTCCCAGTTTGTGATGGCATGTGCCAAAATTCTTCATACATGTGTCCAATGGAAAATTCTCCTTTGTTTGCCAGCATATCTAGTACACAAAGGCTATACTAAGGACCCCAAAGAGTTAAGTTTTATTTAATTTGGTTTGTATGCATAAAAAGGGACATCATTTGAAACTTATTTGCTCCCCTACCATGACTGCCCTCAGCTTCTGTTGACTACAACTAGCAAAAATCAGAATTAGTGAAAATCTGGTCCTAAAGCACCATGTGGAGGGAAACTTCATACAGGCTAACGGGTTGAATCATGGATTACTGAACTACAGGTAGCTACGTTCAGTAGTTGGTAATGACAGACATCCTGAGCCAAACATTTTCCTTCATCACTGTGCCTTTTCTGTCACTGCGTGAATCTGTTAAAAGAGTTGGTGTCTGCTGAGGAAGCACTGCCAGAGCAGCAGGGAGTCACAAATAAGCTGTGAATCATTTTGGAGTCGTTTCTTTGGGGAGGGTTTTAATGGCTGATATCCTTGTGTGCCGTAGGGTCGCCTGTGTGAGGGGAATAATGAACGCGTAGGCGAGAGGTGCTCTGAGCTCTAGCATGTTCTTTCCAGTCTCCTCCTCTTCCATTGTGCTTCTTGCAGTACTGTGTTGGAGCTGACTAGCTGGGTGATTTGTGAATCACAGATTCGTTGGCCCCTTTCTACATGGGGTGTTTGAGGATTTAAACTTGGTGCTTTAAAGATAAAGAGCTCTTCTGCAGTCCAGCACACAAGCTGACTTGAGTTTCAGCTGTAGAAAGGGGAAACAGAGAAGAGCACATTCAGGAGTTGGAAATGTGGGGAGAAAGCAGCAGCTAGAAGAGTTTATATGATGAAATCAACAGTCACTAAAGATGAGTACAGTGTTTTATTCCTACTCGTAGGAAGTCCCTCTGACTAGTCACAGAGTTTCTACAGCTATTCAAACTCTTCCAGCTCAAGATCCAGGGATGTTTGTCATCTTTGTATGCACCTCATAGCACATATGGCGTTGTCTGATGGATGTTCTACTCAGTGCTACCTATTAGGAGCTGTACCAGCTCAGAGCAGAAGTCAGCTGAGTCCATGTCCTATCAGTAGTATCAGTCAACAGCAAATACCCGGGAAGGAAAGTCTGCTTCCCGACAACACTTTCTTAGCATCTAGCAGTTTGGCAGATACTGGGGTGTCCTTGGCCCTGGAGAGATTTTACTTCTGTATATTCTTTTGATCAGCATAAACTGTTAACATCCACAGCATCCTCTATCAAGGAGATTCACAACAGAATAATACAGCACAGAAGGAGCTACCTGCTGTGCTAATCAAGCTTGATCCTTTAATGTTTCCAAATTTTCCTCTACAATTAAATTATCTTTTTCTTTTCCCTTCCTCTTTGCAGGCCATTGACAAGTATTGCCGAGTCAGTGGTGGCTTTTCTGGCGTCAAGGATGTCTACTCCTCATCTCCTACGTATGACGATGTACAGCAGAGCTTTTTCCTTGCTGAAACTTTGAAGTAAGTTCTCTTCACTCTTGCATTTTCCCATAAAAGCTAGTGGCTCAACAAATAATCTCTTGTCTTGTCAGGGTAGTTTATAGTTTGGGCTTTCTTTTTGGTCCCAGATCAGCCCATTTTACCAGCAGAAAGTAGAAGCAAAATTTCCCATACAAGAAGCTTATGCTGAGAGAGCTTTAGTTTTTAAGACTTCTATTTGATTTTCAGCATGATGACAGAGGATAGATTACCTCTTTTTAAGAAATTCCCTGTATGAAAGACACTGGGTTTTTTTGATACACTGACTTGATATGTCTTATAAAAGTATTTGTCATGTTCTGATACTGTAAAACCCATTTCTCCTGGGCATGTCAGTGTACGGGAGTAAATGCATCGAACAAAAGGGCTTCGTGCCCTCAGATGATTTTTCAGCACTTCTTCCGCAACATATTTTTCTGGAATGCCTTTTGGTGTATGCAAGACTATCAGGCATATTTTATAATCTCTTACCCACTTAAAAAATCAGCCTTACAGACAGTCAGATAAGCAGGACACCTGTAGTTCCCCCTGCAGAAGCTCGTGCATTCTATTGCATATTGGTTCGAGGTAGAATGTGCAAAGTCATTGGTCTTCTACCATGTTTCTTTTTAATAACAAAAAAATACTATACTAGAATATGCTATAACCTCTAACTTACAGACATAATACATACAGTAGGAAAAACTAGTGTAAAGATAGGAATATGTTATAGGGATTTTATTAAGAGATCCATTTTTAAAACATGACAACTAGCATGTCATGGCTACTCATCTCCTTCATCATTGACACAAACCAGCTATCAAAAGCACTCTTGTCACATGGTTGTGATCACTCTGGGATCTTGCCTATGAAGAACTGTCTTCTACAGTGTGACAATTTTCTTGATACTCAAGTTACATCAGCAAACTTGATAATATAGTTCTGGCACTGAAACCGACCAAGTTTCCTGTCTTGGTTATCTCCTTGAAATCTTGTGAATTACCTACATTTGGAAGAAAAGTGTCCAAGTTGGGTATATTCCCTACTCCTTGTTTTTTTTTCCTCCTGCATAAGACTTTGGAGAGTGTTTTAGATGGTTAAATCCATAGACTGAAGCCACTGCTGGCAGTGTGAATAGAGGCTACAGCCACTATTAGGAGACACAGCAGTTATGTCTCTGCTTACATATCTATACCACTTTCTGACAACATGTGATGGAAGGGATGATTATGTACATTCTTTCAGAAACCTGCAGGCAACAAAGACTCCTTAAGGTTCACTTCCTTGATTCTTTCCCTTTGTGATACAACGAAGAAACAGTTGTAACCGTTTGGCAGTCTGTCATGGCATACAGGCTTTGCAGAATAGACAGGGTTTCTATACAGCAGCAAAATCTACAGTATCAGTGTCCTGGTTCAGGGCAGGACCCACACGGAACAGAACTATGTACTCGCCTCTCCCCCCCTGAGAGAGAGAGACACTTTGGAAAAAAATGAAGTATATTGTTCAACAAGGAACAGAAAACGAAAAAGGGAGGTAAGGAAAACAATATATACAAAGATTAGGGGAAAAATACAAAAAATAAAATATACAAAACCCTCAGAAATGGTTCCAGGGTCCCACGGAGTGAAAGGAGAACTTCCCTCTCCGAGCTCCAAGGCAGGAGTGAAATTAGAAACCACTCCCTGCCTCTTATCAGAGTGTGTGTGGGAAGGGGAGGGAATACAATGGTTCACCCCCCCCCGGGGTCCTCCCAGTTGCTGGAAGGGCACGCCCCCATTCCAAGCCTCAAACCACAACAATCAGCAACATCAAATTTTTAGGTTTCAGCTGGTGAAGATTGATTTTGGGTGTTAGGATCCCAAAATGCAATGGGGAGTAAAAGCAGGTCCTGAAAGTGGCAGTACTTAAGGTACCACAACATGTTTCAGTGACAAGAAGGAGCTCCAAGTTCATCACATGTGAGGGAAGTGTCTGGGTATTCTGTTCTTCTGCTGACTCCTTACCACATTCTTCCACATAGTCACAATACTTTGTTTCCCCATGTTATCATTATAAAAAGAAAGTCAGCCACTGCTATCTCCTCTGTTGTCTTCATTAATTTTATTTCACCTACTCCTTCAAGTTCACTTTCTGGAGACTCAAAGCTGTACTCCCAAAGAGAGGGGCAGCTGTTTCAAACGGGTTCAAGCAGGTCCATTCAGAGAAGCAATACCTCCCCAGGAGCTGATCTTATATGATTGATCTACCTATAAAAGCCAGATCAGAGAATGAAATCTGCTCCTAAGGGACTTCTGTGGTGACAAGGCTGACCTTTGAAGTATTGCCAGAATCCTGTCTGCATCTTAACTAGCTGCAAGGAGATCTGATTCACGGATGCATCACTCAGTAACTGAATGTACTTTTAGTGCAAGCATTGCAAAAGAAGGCAGTTCTAGGAAGGAACTCAGAAATTTTTATTGGCTTTTGGTTTGGATCATTTCCTGCTTGTGGGAAAAAAGTTTTATTGGAGAGCTGGATATTAGGTGTTTGACATTGTTGGAGTTGGCATAGCCAAACCAGAAACTAGTATCACCTTGAGACAAAATAGAGAACATAAGGTCAGGATAGCTCCAATGGCTATGAAAATAAAGAGACAAGGGTTGGGTGTGATGCCATGAGGAAAATGAAAATGTCCCTTAGAAGAGGGGCATAAAATATGTGTTACAGAAAGTCTGCTGTGATCTTTTTTACTATTGATGATTACTTCTGCATCTTCATTCCCCTCAAATTCAAAATTGATACCTTTTCCAAACATCCATTGTTGCTGCTTGGATACTTTGGCTCATCAAAGATACTCTTCAAATTCTACAAGTTTGGCAGTATATGAGGCAAGAAGGTAGCTGTTGAGTGGGAAGGAGCAAGATGTAGAAATACATTGCTTAAGTTATTCAAAGGAAAAGTGTGAATCAAATGAGGAAGGTGACTTTGATGAAACATAGCTGCTGTGGTGAAAAGGAGTTTGGAGAGCTTCAGAGGGAGAAAGCCAAGGTGGGAGTCATAGAATCATAGAATCCTTT